TTACTACTACTACGACGACTACTACTACTACTGCTACTATTACTACGACTACTACTACTACTACTACTACTACTACTACTACTACTACTACTACTACTACTACTACTACTACTACTACGGCGGCGACTACTACTACTACTACTACTACGACGACTACTACTACTATTACTACTACTACTACTGCTACTACTACCACTACTACTACGACTACTACTACTACGACTACTACTGCTACAACAACTACTACTACTACTACTTGTACTACTGCTACGACTATTGCTACAACTACTAACACAACTATATATCCTCCTGTTCTTTTTCATCCTTCTCGTCGGTCCCTTCTTCCCGAAAGCACCAGTCATGAACCCCCCTGTGCTCCGAGGCCCGCGCTGGTTCTGCGAAGGGGGGGCCGCACGGGCAAACCTCGCCACGATTGGCCTTTTGGACTTCTGGAAAGATTCGCACGTGGCGCGTTCGGATTTTCTTGCGGGCCATCGTTCGAAGCATGCGTTTGCATACCGCAGGTCGGCTCGCGTGAGGTTCGCGGTTTGCCTGGCTACGTTTGCATTCGCACAACGGTAAGTAACAAGCGCGCCACCCAACATTTTTGCCTGGTAAAGAGGGACGTCTGACATGTCAACTCCCTGACGACGCCAGCGCGGGCAAGGCTTCCTTTCGCCAGGTGCCTGAAACGGGTGCCTGGGCTCGGCGAGCATGGAAGGATCTCCAATATCGGCGAGCCGCGATCGTCCGAGGCTCGATGGTCCGCGCGGTGTCAGACACCATCGCCGACGTCCTGGCGACGTTGCCCAGCCGCGCCCTCGGGGCTAGGTGCCGTGTGGAGATCGCGGCGGGCGTGTCTGCTGTGTTTGGATCCTCCGGGGCTCCCCCGAGGGGCCCTCCACGGGTCCACCCGGCTCGAGACGTGCCGCTGTGGCCACGAAACCCTCGGATCTGGCCGCTGCGAAAAGACCGCGGCGGGTTCACCCTTCGGAGAAGGGGCACAATCGTTTCCACCCTTTTGGGGCCTTCTGCGAGGCACTCGTCGTCATCTTCAGCTTCGCCTCGAAGTCCTGGTCAGACCGCGCCCGGGAAAGGTCTGGGGGGTTGCGGCGTCGGCACCTCCGAAAGAGCGTGTTTCGCCGCTGCTGGCAGGAAACCGAAGGGGGTCACTTGGGGTTTCCAACCCTTTCCCCCCCCCTCGAAAACCGGGAGGGGTCACTAGGCCCACCCCCCCCCCCTGGTCCATCATGAAAAGGGGGGGGGGTCAGTACCTGTTCGAGCTTCCCCCCTCCATCCTCGCCGCCGGCAAGCGACTCCCCCTCCTTCCCCACTCCAGATGGGGGACTGTGGTGGGACAGTGGTTGGGACGATGGTGGGGATGGCGGTGGGGAGTGGGAACAGTGGGACAGTGAAGGGAACAGTGGAGACAGTGGGACAATGGTGGGGACAGTAGAGACAGTGCGACGGTGGCGGGGGACAATGGTGGGGACAATGGGGACAGTGTGGGAGGAGTCGGGACAGTGGGACAGTGGTGGGGACGGTTTTGGTGGGGACAGTGGTGAGGGCGGTGGTGAGGCCGGTAATGGACAATGGGACAGTTGTAGGAACAATGGGGACAGTGGGACAGCTGTGGGGGCAGTGGGGACAGTGCGACAGTAGTGAGGACAATGGTGGGGACGGCAGTTGTTGGAACAGTGGGAAGGGGACAGTGGGACAGTGGTGGGGGCAGTTGGGACAGTGGGACAGTGGTGGGGAAGGTGGTGGTGGGGACAGTGAATGCGGTGGTGAAGACGGTAATGGACAATGGGACAGTGATACATTGGGGAGAGTGGTGGGGACAGTGAGGACAGTAGGACAGTGGTGTGGACAGTGGGGGCAGTAGGACAGCACAATGGAACAGTTGTGCTGTCAGTGGGGGCAGTGGGACAGTGGTGGGGATTGTGGGGAAAGAGGGGAGAGTTGGGACCGTGGTGGGGACAGTGGTGGGGACAGTGGGGACAGTGCGACAGTGGTGGGGGCACTGGTGGGGACATTGGTGGGAACAGTGGGGAGAGTGGCACAGTGGCGGGGACAGTGGGGAGAGTGGGACAGTGGTGGGGACCGTGGTGGTGACGCCTCGGCGAGGGGACAATGGGACAGTTGTGGGGACAGTGGGGCAGTGGTGGGGACGGTGGTCGTGGGGAAAGTGGTGAGAGCAGTGGTGATGACGGTGTTGGGACCATGGGACAGTGGTACAGTGGGGACAGTGGTGGGGACAGTGGGAAAGTGGTAGGAACAGTGGGGACAGTGGGACAGCATAGTGGGACAGCTGTGGGAACAGTGGAGACAGTGGGACAGTGGTGGGGACTGGGGACTGTGCGACAGTGGTGGGAACAGCGGGGACAGTGGGGACAGTGGGACAGTGGTGGCCACTACTGGTGGGGACAGTCGGGGTGCGACAGTGGTGGGGGCACTACTGGTGGGGACCGTGGGGACAGTGGTGGAAACAGTGGGGAGTGGGACAGTGGCGGGGACAGTGGAGACACTGGGACAATGGTGGGGACGGCTTTGGTGGAGACAGTGGTGTGGGCGGTGGCGAGGAGGTGGCGGGGATGCGAGAGTCGTTTGCCGGCGGCGAGTGTGCGGGCGGGGGGGTTTAGAACCGGACACCCCCTGGTTTTCCGGAAGTGGAGGGGGGTTCGAACCAGTAGACCCCCCCGGTTTTCCGGAAGGGGTGGGGGGTTCGACCCGGTAGTGGTTCCCCACCCGGTTTTCCGGGTAGAAGGAGGGAGGGGGTATGTTGAGGGAGAGGGGGGGGAGGGGTTCGAGCAGAGGGGAGGATTTTCGGAGGGGGGGGGGGCCCCGGGTTCCGGAGGGGGGGCATTTTTCACAGCAAAGCGGCGGTGGATCACGCTCTCTCGTACCTCCTGGCACCCCGGGGAGCGGCGCTTGAGGCTCCATCATCTTCATGATCAGCTGCTTCATTGGGTGCCTGCCAGAGGACGGAGCTCGGTCCGCTCGCCTCTGCCACCGTCTCACCATCCTGGCTCGGCTCGCCAGAACTCGCTCTCAGTGGCCCGAGGGCGTCCTCCTTGCCGTCGTCTGCGCTCTCGGGTCGCCCCGCCCTCCTCCAGTCCCGTCCTTACCCGAAGTCCACCCTGCCAGTGCGAAGGAACGGAGTCTTGGAAGTGCTTCGCGGTTGTCTGGCCCCTTGCCCCCCCCCTCTGTCACCCCGCGCGCGTCAGAAGACGGTTCTGGGTCCCGGGTGAAGAGTTGGAGCCCATGGGGTTTAGGACCCGTTTCCACCAGGACCCCCGCGCCTCCATGCCAATCCTCCAATGTTGTTGCTCTTCTGGGCGTTCGCCAGAGGAGGCGTTCGGCGCCAACCGCGCGCCCGTCACCTCCTGGGCCATGGTGATTGGCGGTTCGTTCTACACCATCTGCACCTACCTGATGTGCATCGAGACGGCGAACCTGAACAAGGACGAGTTGTCGCTGAACCCCTTCAACTGGCGCCGCGCTGTGGAGGCCCTAGACGAAGCGGGAGTTGGGCCGGAGCCATACATTGCCTCCATCACGTATTTCCTGGGCGCCTTGGTCTACACCGTGCCAGTGGTGGCCGATCTCGTCTACCCCAGCGCCTCTGGTGCGATGGACGTCGTGCTGTTCACAGGGCCCTACATTGTGGCCGGCGCCTTTTTCGCCGTCGGCGGTTTCGTCGAGTGCATCGAACACGAGGTGTTCTCAACTCCCCCCGACCATCACGGCTGGTGGGGTGCGTTCCTCAATTTCGTGGGCGGTTTTTTCTTCACTATCGCAGGCGTCGCGGTCGTGTGGTCAGGATGGTGGTGCAGCTTTCTCTTCGGCATCGGCTCATCAATTTATACTATAGGGTCGTTGATCATGGTCATCATGTGGAAGGACGAGCAGTTTGGCCTCACCTTCCTTGCGGCCATCAACAACATTTACCGTCCCCCTACGGCGAAACCGCACTTCTCCTTCCGCGGGCTGGCATTCCTAATTTTATACATATGCGTATCGGTGATGGTGGTGTATAACTTCAACTTGGTATTGCGGGCCGTGATGCAGAAGCCGTCGTGGCTTTTGTTGGGTACCCTCTTCAACGAGGGAGCTCCGTTCGTCGCCTTTCACATGATGATGGCAGTCTTGTCAGCGAACTATCGGGTTCCCAAGGAAGAGCCGTACCATTCGCTCATGATCGGAGCTCGTTGTTGCTTGGTGTTGTGCGCACTCAAAGCCTCTTTCACGTTTTATTTCTCTGTCATTGACAGTCACTTCTTCGACCTTGACGGAAAAGGATCCTTCTATGAGTGTGCTACCAATTCTGCATTGTAGATTTTGCAATGAGGATGATTATGAGGCGAGGTTGGCGAATGTTCCGAGCGGAGTTCTCATGATGCGATGTGAGTGTCTCTGAGCCGAGCTTGCCTGTGGCCACGAAGGCGAGGAGGAGGAGCAGGGGGGAACGGAGGGAGGGAGGGAGGGAGGAGTTGTTCGGGGGGCTGCGGCATTCACGCGCCTTTCCGTCCAAATTTATGTGTCCATCTATGTAGCGTCCTTAGGCGCAGAAGCCCGAAGAGACAGTTACGCCGCCGCACGCCGCTGCGCGGTATAGCTTGCCTGTCGCCTCGCTTGCAGCGCGAAGCATACAGAGGCAACCCCAATGCAGTCGCATGGGGTGGCGTTTGAGCGCTCGTGCCCGCGGGTCCTCCTGACGTCCAGGATCCCCCCCCCCCATCACGCCACGAATGTCGGGCCCCAGGGCCCACTGAGGCCCCAGGGGCCCCAGCTCAGTGAAGTGATGCTCTTTCCCGCGGGAGGACCCCGAATCACTTCACTGAGCCGAACCCAGGACGAAGATCAGGGGCCGGATTGCTGCTGTGATGCAGCATGGGTCTCGTGTCATGAGCGTGCACGGGCTCGGAGAGCCGCCCAGACTCCTTGGGCCGGCACTGGACACCCTTGGCGGGGCCTCCGCCGCGGCCCCCTTGGCCCGCTTCCTCGCTTCGGGTGGGGATGGGGTGTCCGGCGCCGGCGCGCGAAGTCCGCGCTGGTCGCGGGAGGGTTGTCGTTCTGCCGCGTCTCCTCCCCTCGCCCTCCTTCTTCCAGACCTTCCGTGCTGACCTTCCACACTCTTGCGCTTCGTGAAGCGCCGACTCGTGCTGCGCTTCCTGAGGCTTTTAGTAGTTTCAGTGCCTCACCTTCCGCGCCTTCCGCAGAGGTCGGAAGGTATGGAAGATGGAGGTGCAGGGTCATTCTGCCTCAGCCCCTCGTCACCTGCCGAGGCCTTCCGGGGTCTTCTGCAGAGCTCGCTGGGGACCTCCGGGAGCCTGCCCCCCGGCCTCCCCCCACCTTGGCTTAATCTTCCCCCCCCGGCGGCGAGGCGACTCCGACGTTTGCCCCCAGCACGATGCTCCTCTTTGATTCCCCCCCCATCCCTGCTTCTAAGGTTTGATGAAAACGCCCCGCCCTCGCACTGCACTGGAGGTTGCCATCCCGCGCGAGTGAAACGGAAGGCGTGCGGCGTGCGGACAAAGTGGGCGGCCCTCCGCTGTCCGGGCGCGTGAAAGAGAGCAGGCTGGTCGTGAGTCTTTCATCCATCGCCTGGGGCGCAGCCCGTCTCAGAGCTTGTACTCCAGTTCGCTCGCAACACAGGGGTGTAAGGCGATTGCTCCTCCTCCTCCTCCTCCTCCTCCTCCTCCTCCTCCTCCTGCCTGCCTCTTCACGTTTCTAATCCTCCTCCCGCCTGCTGAGGGGTAGCAGGCTGCTTGACAGCGCTGGAGTGGAGCACATCCCGACGCCAACCCCCCCCCTCCACAGGAAGCCGGCGGCGGTGCGCTCCCCAACCGGTCCATGCTTGCCCTCGCCCCCCCAGGCCGAGTAAATTGCAGCCTTAGCTGCGGGTACCCGTGTCAGGCTGCCCTCTCTGTACAGGTCTCGACGGGTGTACGTGGCTTGTTCTGCTGGGTTGGGAGGAAGAAAATGAGGAGCAGGAGACGCACGGAAGGAACTGATGATGATGAGGAGGAGGAGGAGGAGGAGGAGGAGGAGGAGAGGAGGAGGAGGAGAAGGAGGAGGAGGGACCGTTTTTTGTAGGTTTCTGGCTACTCCTGAAGATTACCAGAGGTTTAGGGATGGTTGGGCGTTTATGGAGGTTCTCTGCGAGGGCTCTGTCGGTATTTTGAGGTTTTGCGGTGCTGACAAAAGAATCCTAGAGGAAGCAGGAGGGGAGGGGAGGGGTGGGTTTTTTTGTTGTCAAACTCTCTCTCTCTATATATATATATATATATGTATATCTATATGTGTATATATATATATATATATATATATAGATGTATCTACAATGTAGTATTTTGCGTAATACACAGATCCACGTACATCAAAGAGTGCATTCTGTCGACGCTTGGAAGGGGGGGGGGGTCACCGCACGGCTGGGGCTGAGGCCCACCGGCCGCGTGCGTGGCGGGCGCCACCTCTTCCTGCGCTCCCTCCGCGACGACAGACGACGCCCCAGGCCCGCACCACCGGCTCGTCCGCCCACACGCCCTCATCACTTGCGATCGGCTCAGATCAGGAGGCGGTCCTCGTCCGAGGAGGCAATTTTTGACAGCATTCTCGGTGCAGTGCGACGGGATCGTATGGACCGCCGTTTCGTCCAGCTCGTCGTGGACCTGGGCCCACCAGTGAGCCCTCGGATTTTGGGGTCCAGCCGCTGTCCGAGAGTCCGTGGCGCAGGCCACTGCCCCAGCGCAGCCAGTATGAAGCTGGACGCCCGAGCACAACACGGCATTTAGCACAAGCGGGAGGACCGCACGGAGGGCAGGGCAGGGGCGCGCCACCGCCGACGTTCTCAGCCGTTGGGTCGCCTGGCGCGTCAGAGGGCTCGCGCGCCCCAACGGGGAGGGGTCCCACCGCCTCGGCCCGCGGCGCTGGTGCCATGCCGAGCGGATGAGCGGCCCGATGGGGTCGTCAAGCACGCGTGGAAGAGGAGGAGGAGAGGGAGGAGGGGGAGGAGGGAGATCATGTTGTTGTTCCTGTTGATGATGATGTTGCTGATGATGCTGATGCTGATGCTGATGCTGATGCTGATGCTGATGGTGATGGTGGTGATTGTGGTGGTGGTCATGATGAGGATGACGATGACGATGGGGATGAGGATGATAATCATGGTGATGGTGATGGTGATGGTGATGGTGGAGGATGATGGTGATACTGATGATGCTGATGATGATGCCGATGCTGATGCTGATGCTGATGATGCTGATGATTATGATGATGGTGAGGCTGAGGCTGAGGATGAGGATGAGGATGAGGATGGCGATGGTGATGGTGATGGTGGTGGTGTTGGTTATTCCCAACCCTCCTTGTGTTGGGTACTCGTTTTGAAGAGGGCACTGTGGTATCCACTTCCCGCCCTCTCCTCCTCCGTCTCTCCTGTGTTCGCGGTGCCCTGCGGGGCTGCGATCTGCGCAACTGTCGCCACTTTCGTGGGTTCCTGGCTGTCCCCTGCGGGGCTACGATCTGCGCAACTGTCGCCACTTTCGTGGGTTCCTGGGAGGCCCAGCGGAGGTACGTCATACGCAGATCACTTTGAGGCCTCCCTGTCCCCTGCGGGGCTGCGATCTGCGCAACTGTCGCCACTTTCGTGGGTTCCTGGGAGGCCCAGCGGAGGTACGTCATACGCAGATCACTTTCGTGAGGCCTCCCTGTCCCCTGCGAGGCTACGATCTGCGCAACTGTCGCCACTCTCGTGGGTTCCTGGGAGGCCCAGCGGAGGTACGTCTTACGCAGGCCACTTTGAGGCCTCCCTGTCCCCTTGGCCTGCCTGGCGCGCACCTGGAGCACCCGGCGCGCACCTGGCGCACTGGGCGCACCTGACGCACCTGACGCGCTGGGCGCATCTGGCGCGCACCTGACGCACCTGTCGCACCTGGCGCACTTGTCGCACCAGTCGCACCTGGCGCACCTGGTGCACCTGGCGCGCACCTGGCGCGCACCTGGCGCGCACCTGGCGCGCTGGGCGCACCTAACGCACCTGCCGCACGTGGCGCACCTGGCGCGCACCTGGCGCGCCTCGCGCGCCTGGTGCAACTGGCGCACCTGGCGCGCACCTGGCGCGCACCTGGCGCACACCTGGCACACCTGGTGCATCTGGCGCACCTGGCGCACCTGGCACGCTGGCGCGCACCTGGCGCACCTGACACACCTAGCGCAGACCTGGCGCACCTGGCGCGCCTGTCGCACCTGGCGCACCTGGCGCACCTGGCGCACCAGTCGCACCTGGCGCACATGGCGCACCTGGCTCACTTGGCGCGCCTGGCGCAACTGGCGCACCTGGCACACCTGGGGCAACTGGCGCACCTGGCGCACCTGGCGCGCACCTGGCGCACACCTGGCGCACACCTGGCGCAACTGGCGCACCTGGCGCGCGCCTGGCGCGCACCTGGCGCGCACCTGGCGCGCCGGGCGCACCTGGCGCACCTGGCGCGCTGGGAGCACCTGGCGCGCACCTGGCGCACCTGGCGCGCTGGGCGCAACTGGCGCACCTGGCACACCTGGGGCAACTGGCGCACCTGGCGCGCCTGGCGCGCATGGCGCAACTGGCGCGCCTGGCGCAACTGGCGCACACCTGGCGCACCTGGCGCGCCTGGCGCGCACCTGGCGCACACCTGCCGCACCTGGTGCACCTTGCGCATCTGGCGCGCCTGGCGCACCTGGCACACCTGGCGCACCTGGCGCACCTGGCGCACCTGGCGCGCTAGGCGCACCTGGCGCACACCTGGCGCACACCTGGCGCACACGTGGCGCACCTGGCTCACTAGGCGCGCCTGGCGCACCTGGCGCACGTGGCGCGCCTGGCGCACCTGGCGCACCTGGCGCACCTGGCGCGCGCCTGGCGCACCTGGCGTACCTGGCGCATCTGGCGCACCTGGCGCAACTGGCGCGCTGGGCGCACCTGGCGCACCTGGCACACCGGGCGCACACCTGGCGCACTCCTGGCGCACACTTGGCGCACCTGGCGCGCCTGGCGCATCTGGCGCACCTGGCGCGCCAGGCGCGCCTGGCGCACCTGGCGCACCTGGCGCACCTGGCGCACCTGGCGCACCTGGCGCACCTGGCGCACCTGGCGCACCTGGCGCGCCTGGCGCGCTTGGCTCACCTGGCGCGCATGGGCTTCTGGGAGGCTCAGCGGAGGTACGTTCTACGCAGATCACCACTATACCATGGCGCCGAAATGTCCTTCGGTACTGAGTGGTCCTGAATGCACTTGCCACTTGTGTAGAAAGGGTTGCGTACGTCGCAGGATAATTGTTTTTTGTAATGTGGATGGTGATGGTGGTGGTGCTGGTGATGGTGATAGTGATGGTGATGGTGGTGGCGGTGGCGGTGCTGGTGATGACGACGACGACGATGATGATGATGATGGTGGTGATGATGATGATGATGATGACCATGATCATGATCACTATGATGAGGATGAGGATGAGGATGAGGATGAGGATGAGGAGGAGGAGGAGGAGGAGGATGATGATGATGATAATGATGATGATGATGATGATGATGATGATGATGATCATGATGATGACGACCTCGACGACGACAACGACCACGACGACGATGATAATGATGCCACGTGGTGGCGGAGGATGATCAAGAGGAGTGAGAAGAGAAGGAGGAAGATTAGCAGGAGGCCGGGTTGCGGGCGACTAACTGGGGGGCCAGGTGGGTCAGACCCCACGGCCGGTCTCCCGTCCCTTCCGCCTTCTGGTTTCATCTTGGTCTGTCCTTCCTCCTTCCTACCCCCTTGCTGATGCCTTGTTGGGAGTGTGCCCTGTCGGCAGTGCTCTGGTGGACTGCCGGCCTCCACTTCGGTACTACTTGTGAGAAAATCCGTTGGAAGAGTACTTGTTGTGCGGTCAGCACCTTCGACCGACACGCCTAACCACGGCGTTCACGAGTCTCTTCCTCCGCCTCTTCCTCCTCTTTTGACGCTTTGACGGGTATTTCGTTCGGCTCCTGCCGCGACGTTGCATTCTTTGCGCTTGGGGAGCAAAAGCGAGGGTGGGGGCGTGGGGAGGGCCCGAGGACTTTCCAGGTGATCGCGTCAACGGCGGGGACGCGCGTATCGCGTATCAGGTCTTATCTTCAGGTCTACCGTCTTCCGCCTGCGGTATGCCCCCTCGTCGGCATGCCCCAGGGTTGCTACTGCCATGACGGTGTTTCCTTTCCTGTGTTTTCTTGGCGTTCTCGTCATTGTCCCCGCCCGTGGTCCCCCCCCCCCCAGCTACTCGCACCGCTCTCTATCGACGTCTCTCGCTCAGCGACAGATCCCTCCTCTCAGACTCCCCCTCCCCTCTCCCCATACATCCTCGTTTGGTTTTCTTCAAGAGGCTTGCGCCGTGCCGCCGACCTTCAGAACATGACTGCAGTCCACGGTTGAGGTGTCGTTGGTCTCTTGGGCATTCTCTTGGGACTCCTGTGGGCGTCTTGGGAACTGTTTGGGGCCTGGTTGAGTCTCTTGGAGGCAGCCTTGTAGCGTCTTGGGTCAGTATTGGGGCCTCTTGTGGGCCTATTGGGGCTTAGTGGAGGCCTCTTAGTGGCCGCTTGGATGCTTCTTGGGCGGGAAGATACGATTTTTGGTTTGTGTCTCCTTTTTGGCCTCTCTTGGGGCCCTCTTTGGGTGATCTTTGGGCAGTCCTGGAGCCCTCTTGAGCCGTCCTCGGGCCCTCGTAGAGACCTCTCGAGCAGTTTGAGGGCGGTCAACGGGGCCTCGTGGGCCGTCTTGGAGCGTCGGAAGCTGGAGAAGACGATACACCTTAGACACAATGAACCACCCAAGAAACACAACTTTTGTTTTGCCTCCCGAGGCGCTCTTGGGAAGGCTCTTTGGCCTCTCTTGGGACTTCTCGAAGGCGTCTGGGGGCGTCTTCGAGCCATCGCAGGTGTCTCAGGACAATCGGTCGGCGATTCGGGACCGTCTTGGTGCGTGTTTGGGACCACGGAAGGCAGATTCGGAAGCTCTGGAGTCTCCAGGGAGTCGCCCAGGAGCTTGTGCCCTCCCCTCAAACGAGAGTTTGGACCCTGGGGGAGGAATACAGGGGAGGGGGGCAGCTAATCAGCTCATACGCCTTCCCACACCCGACAAGCGGGGGTCGGCGGATCATTTTCTCAGTATGTTCTCCTTGTCGTATTCCCCTTTCTTCTTTGCCTCCGCATCTCCCTCCCAATCCCTTCGTCCTCTTCATTGTCCCGCTTCTCTTCCTTCTCATCCTTGTCATCCTCTCTCTCTCTCTCTCGATCCTTCTCTCTTGGTCTCTCTTTCTCTCTATCTCTCGTTGTTCCTCTGCCTCTACCTGTTCCCTTTTTGAGTGGAGGAGGCTGCAGCGGAAGGAGAGACTGGCGAGGAGTTGTACCGTTGACCCGATGCTCCACGCGGTGTAGTTCTGGGGCATCCTTCGCGGGGGATCGGAAGAGCGGGCCGAGAGGGACATCGCCCACATGGAGCCGCTTGGCCGCCAGAGAGAGAGAGAGAGAGAGAGAGTAAGACGCTGCGGGCGAGAAGGGAGGAGGAGGAGGAGGACGAGGAGGACCATCGTAAGCCCACGACGTATCAACGATGTGGCAATACACAATCCTTCGCACTTCCCTGTTCACGGCTTCCTGCATGAGTGGTCTTCATTGCGTGCAATGCGAAATTGCTTCAGCCCCTCGGGTCAACGCGACTGCGCTTCTTGACGATCCGAAGCCGTGCCAAAGTATCGTGCTGGAGCTACAAAACCGCACGTCAAGGTGACAGCTGCGTCCTGGCAATCCGAAACCAAACCAGCACATCTTTCCGGGGATTTGAGCCATACGAAGTTTTGATCTGCTTCAGAGTTTGAACACGAATTCGCGCGGCGCTACAGCGAGAGTCAAACGTTGAAACTAAACCGCCCTCCGTCGCTGAATTGCTTCAAACTGTTAAGATCAATGTGCGCGGCGCCAAGCCAAGGCGATAGCCTCAGTTTGACAAGGAGCCGCTCTCCATGTTTGACATTGCTGCAAACTGTTCGAACGAATGCACGTGGCGCGAAGACGATGACCACATATTGAAAATGGGCTTCACCCATCTTCGTAGCTGATGCACACTTTTTGAGACGAACGTGCGTGGTGCTAAAGCGAGAGCCACATTCTGAAAACCTCCTGCCCTCGCGACAGGGAGGAGGCAATCACGAAGCAAAGGGGTGGTGGAGGGGGAGGCGGAGGAGTATTCGCCTCTGCCCCCCGCCCGGCCCCCGCGGCCGACCCAAGGGGGGGCGGGGGCAGGCGCCTCGCGCCTGCCGAAGCTGCAGCTGCCCCCGGGCCAGGGCGTGCGCGACGCCGTGGCCGAGGCAGCGTTCGGGGGGGGGGGCGAAAGGACAGGGGGCAGTGCCCGGGGAGGTCGCGTTCAGGGTGCTCCGGGCTCCCCCCAGCTGCAGTTCGGCCGCGTCCGCACTGTAGGAGGGTCACCAGTTCCTGCCTGGAGATCGACGTGCTCGTAGAGTTTTGTTGGGCGTTTGGGGGTCGTTTTGCATGTCTCCGGAGTGCTCCAGGGGGCCTCCTCCTGCGAGGAAGCGGCGGTTCCTCGAGGAAGCGGCGACCCCCCTGGTGGTGAGCCCCCTTAGCATTGCCCCGGCACAAGGGGCAGGGGGGATCATCTAGGCGGAGGAGGAGGAGGAGGAGGAGGAGGAGGAGGAGGAGGAGGATGTGCAAACATGGATCTGAGGCACGGGGATCCGCGGCGGGTGCCTCTTCCATGCCGAATCGGCATGCTCCGTCGCCAAATTCGGTGGCACTGGACTCATGTTTCGGGGAGGGGGCGGGCGGCCTGCGCGGTCGCGGTCGTCGGTCGTTGGCTTTAGGGTTCGCAGTCTGTGATCGATGTTTGTCCTGTCTCGTCTTCGCCATGGTCGTCGTCGGCGATACCGAAGACATCGACAACGGTGAGCAGGAAGAGGAGGAGGAGGAGGAGGAGCAGGAGGAGGAAAAGGAGGAGGAAAAGGAGGCCCACAGGAGAGGATGCGGATCATATTTGTAGTATACTTTTCTGGGGGGGGGGACGAGCAGGGTTTGACGAGAAATGTGGACCGTTCCTGGAGACGTTCTTGGGTTGCCACGAGTGGCCGCCACGTCCAGATTATGTGGCTTTCGGGGGGCGGTCTCCGGGGGTGTCTGTGAATCCGGGGCCGACGTCGTTCAGGAAATCGTGGCGCGCGTGGTCCTTGGCGGGGAGTCCGACGCGGCGGGGCCGCGCCGTGGGCTCTCTGGCCCGACCGCGCGCCGGGGAGCGCGGCGCGGTTTTCATCGTGGCCGGGCTCGTCTGCCCGAAGCTTCCCACGCGTGCTGCTCTGGAGACATCTGGCGCCAGCCGCGAGGACCTCGGACTTGGTTCGGCCCGTGCGGTCGTGGTTGGTGGTTGTCGGTCGTTGGTTTGCCAAGGTCGGTTGTCTCTTGTCGATGGCTTTCTTTTGGCCCGCCATCGCCGTTGGGGTCGCCGACGAGAACGAAAACGGCGACATCGACGAACAGGAGGAGGAGGAGGAGGAGGAGGAGGAGGAGGGGCAGGCATACGGCTACGGGAGAGGATTGGATGATGTTTTTTCGCCTACTTTCCGGGGGAGCAGAAGAGGAGGGTTTCAAGATCCAGGTTCCGTGGAGACATTGTGCGCGGCTGAAATTTCGGTTCTATGCCCGGAGTGTGGTTGCTTTTGTCATCCGTGTTCCTGGTTCCCCCGCTGGTAATTCGAGATTCTGGGTTTCACCAGACTGGTTTCCAGGTTTGGCCTTGCAATGCCGGGTTTCGCCCGGGTGAGTTCTGGGTTTCGCCTGGAATGGAATGTTGTGCAAGAGGAGGAGGAGGAGGAGGAGGAGGAGGAGGAGGAGGAGGAGGAGGGGGAGGAGGAGGAGGAGGGGGAGGACCAGGACCAGGACCAGGACCAGGACCAGGAAGAGGGAGGAGGAGGAGGAGGGAGGTGGAGGAGGAGGAGGAGGAGGAGAAGGAGGAGGAGGAGGAGGAGGAGAAGGTGGAACAGGAGGAATTGGAGGAGGAGGAGGAGGAGGTGGAGAAAGTGGAGGAGGAGGAGGAGGAGGAGGAGGAGGAGGAGGGACAGCTGCTCGGCGATGCCCGCGCGCGCGTGCGCGCAGGGGCCAAGGACGCGCGCGCGCGCGTGGCCAGCGCAGGCGTGCAAGCTGGCCCGCGACGGCGAGCTGAAGAGCGCGCAGCAGGACCGGCTCCGCCAGGGGGAAGGGGGGAGAATCGCTGAGGGGCAGGAAAGGAAGGAAAGGGGTCCTGAGGGGAACAGGTCCTGAGGTTTTCCTCCGCTTTCGGGGTCTCGGGGCCTTCCCTGGGCCCAGGACTGTTTCAAAACGGCTCAGGATGAAGACTTGGCCCTGGGGAGCGCCTGGGGTCCAGGACCCGTTTCCAGCAGGACCCGTCTCCTTTTTCGTGCCAAGAAGGGGGGGGAGGACGAGGAGCACAGGAGGGAGGAGAAGCGGTGAGGAGAGGAACCGTTTTTTCCCAACCATCCTTTGGTTTTGGGTCCTCGTTTTGAAGAGACGGTTTCCGCGTTCCTTCCCTCCTTCCTTCCGTCCCTCCTTCCTTCCTTCCTGCCTCCTCCCCCTCCTCCTTCTTCCCATTCCTGCTTCTGCCCTGCGCATGTCCTCGTAGTCGTCGTCATCACCATCATCAGCATCATCATAGGGAGGTCCACCCAAGGCCCCAGTGGCGGTGTCCACACGCGTTTCCCCCACCCAGCACGGCGTTTCGTGGCCCCATAGGGAGGTCCACCCAAGGCCCCAGTGGCGGTGTCCACACGCGTTTCCCCCACCCAGCACGGCGCTCCGTGGAGGTCCACCCAGGGCCCCAGTGGCGGTGTCCACACGCGATTCCCCCACCCAGCACGGCGTTTCGTGGTGCCACAGGGACGTCCACCCAAGGCCCCAGTGGCGGTGTCCACACGCGTCTCCCCCATCTAGCACGGCGCTTCGTGGCCTCATAGGGAGGTCCACCCAAGGCCCCAGTGGCGGTGTTCACACGCGTCTCCCCCCCCATAGGGAGGTCCACCCAAGGCCCCAGTGGCGGTGTCCACACGCGATTCCCCCACCCAGCACGGCGCTTCGTGGCCCCATAGGGACGTCCACCCAAGGCCCCAGTGGCGTTGTCCACATGCGTCTCCCCCACCAAGCATGGCGTTTCGTGGTCCCACAGGGGGGTCCCCACAAGGCCCCAGCGGCGGTGTCCACATGCGCTTTCCCCGCCCAGCACGGCGCTTAGTGGCCCCATAGGGAGGTCCACCCAGGGCCCCAGTGGCGGTGTCCACACGCGTCTCCCCCACCTAGCACGGCGCTCCGTGGAGGTCCACCCAAGGCCCCAGTGGCGGTGTCCACATGCGTCTCCCCCACCCAGCACGGCGCTTCGCGGTTCCATAGGGAGGTCCACCCAAGGCCCCAGTGGCGGTGTCCACACGCGTCTCCCCCACCTAGCACGGCGCTTCGTGGCCCCATAGCGAGGTCCACTTGCAAGGCCCCAGTGGCGGTGTCCACATGCGCCTCCCCCACCCAGCCGGGTGCTTCGCGGCCCCATAGGGAGGTCCACCCAAGGCCCCAGTAGCGGTGTCCACATGCGCCTCTCCCACCCAGCACGGCGTTTCGTGGCCCAACAGAAAGCTCCACCCAAGGCCCCAGTTGCTGCACTCACATGCGTCTTCTTTGCCCAGTACACCGCTTCGTGGCCCCGTAGGGAGCTCCACCGAGCTCCCCAATGGACATGTTCACAGGCGTCTGCCCCGCCCAGCACAGCGCTCCGTGTTTCCATAGGGAGCTCCATTGGAGGCCTCACTGGCACCATCCACATGCGTTGGGCCGCTCCATGGTACCAGGAACACAGCCTTTGCGAAAAACATGGGAAAAAAGAAAAAAGAAAAAAAGAAAAAATAGACAAGAACAAAACAAATAAACATACAACAATAACACAAACAACTAATCAATGAAAACAACATGTTTTAGAAACAAGATAAAAAGAAATAATAATACAAAATAGTAATTCGTCGATTTTCAAACGCTGCAAGAAAATCATTATCCCAGGAGAAAAATATTTCGTTTTTCCAGCGCCCTGCACTGAAAACAGGGGGGGGGCACGACGGACGATGGAATCGTTGCGCTGAACAGAATTATTTTTGAAAGCGGTGGAGCTTTCAATTGTTCCAAGGCTGTTTTTTTTTTTATTTCGCCCAGGACTGCGAAAATGAGGTGGCAGAGATACCATATAATTGGCATATTTGAATGGGGAAATGCTGTCAATTTTTTAAAAACATCGTTTTGGGTAGCCTTTTCAGATTGACGACGGAAATGATCAGGAATCTTATAGGATTGCGTGTATTTGTACATGTCGCGCCTGCCTTTTCAAACCGCAGCTTTTGCGATGTTTCATGCCTCTTTATCTTTTTCTGGAAAACGTTTTTTTTTTTTTTCTTAGGATCCAGACAGTTTGATTATGAGCTCTTGGTGTGTGCATATCTTACGGGAGCGCGCTATCGCACCCAAACGATATGACGTCTCAACGATTTTGTTCGTGCACGCAAGCGCTGTCATCCGCGACCAATCAGTAGGTGAATTTGCGCGCATGGCAAAACATGTGAAACATGAGAATCAGCGTGCAAAAAAAAAAAGATTTTGATCATATCTCCGCACCGTGGCAGCCAACTGCGCGGAACGGTTTTGACATGTGGTGTGTTTCTTTCTGCGTTTTATCCGTTTCTGTTACATTCTGACGAAGCAGAAGTCAACGTGTTGTTCATTTGTATAGCACTTGCGCTACAAATTGGATCGCGACGGATTGCATAAAATTGCAGTTCCGCTGGCGACGCGACCATTTTCTGTACCATTCCCTTATAGTAAGGAAAGTGGCGTTAACCACGTATCGATGCATGTAAAATCGGTTGCGCACCAGGTTCTGCATTGGTTGTGTTCTATAGCGAAATGCAATACTTTTTGGTATCGGGCTGTTCGCCGAGAGCGCGTTTGATCAATCTTTATGTTTCCTTTCAGCCCAAACAGCGCTTTTGTACAAAACCGTTCAGCGCGCCTGCGTGAAAAATGTGGCAACGCCTCTATGAAAACGAACTCGGCCCGCCTTGCGAAGGAAGCCTGCATGGTCGTCGGCACGCCGTTGAACTCCCAAAGCTTTCTGACATATTTGCAGCTGGTCCCTGCCACACTTCCTCTTCTTAGTGATAGTCTTTCTTCTGCGAGCCACTTGAAGGAATCTTGGGGCTATCCCAGGCGCTCCGGGGGATAGGTTGCGTGTCTTTGGGCGCTTTGGGGTCTTCGTGGTGCCTCTTAAGGCTCTCCCGGAGCGTTGTCGGGGCCTTCTTGGGGCTCTGGCACGGTCCCTCATGTAGTCGACGCCGCCCCCGCGCCGCCCCACCCACCCTGGGTGATGCTGAAACGCCTGCCCCCTGGAGGATTGCTGAAGCGTCCGGTCGCATCTATTGCCATCGTCGTCATCGGCAGCCGTGGACTTGTCAGATTTGTATGCTGGCCTCCACGCGCTGGGATGTGCCCCTAGAGACACTGATGGCGATCGGCCTCGCAGGCCAGAGCCGCAGGGGCACCCTGATGCGCAGGCTGGCGGCGCGCCAACCTTGGCTTCTCTCGCACGAGGCCTCCATCTAGTTTCGTCTTCGCCGACATCGTCGAAGTCTTCTTTTAGCGGTTCGTTGTACGGCGGCCCAGCGCACTCCCAGTTTCTGCGCGCTTGCAAGAGGCTGAAGAGATCGGAAGACCAGCGCCGCGAGGACGCAGATGCCTACGAGCCGTTCCAGACGGCATGGAACGAAGAACGCCTGCGATCTGGAACCATGGTTGGGCACGGCGACCACGCTTTGCATTGCAACCAGTACAGCCCGCACCAGGTGCTGATCAACAGCTGGCTCCAGATTGGTAAAAATAAATGCTTGAGAGAAGGCATCGATGGGCACCACCGTGGGTTGGATATGGTGGCAGCTGTGTCCGCGGCTGCCATCGAGGACCAGACCGAGTGGCTTTCGGCGGAGCTCTCACGCATGCAGTGTCTGCGAGCGTCCCCCGTGATATCAAAGTTCTACGACTGCACGCCACATCGATTTCGATTTGGTCGACTTCAGGCTGTTCTTCACTCCCACGCTCGCTACCCACTCCTCGTAGATGATCGCTGGACCACGGTGACTCTTGATGATTACCTCGCGGCCAAGCCCGATGCTGGGCCCATGCGGTTCGGCATTCTGGAGTTGCTTGCGCAGGGCATCACGTGTTCGTACACGTCGCCAGTGACGGATCAGATGCACGCCGTGCGCGTCCTTTGCAGGCCACGGATTCTTCAAAGCTGTAATGCGTCGTGCTTGTTCTCAGGTACAGAGATGGAAGCTCCTGAGTTTGCTGCCTCGGGCCTGGCAGCGTTGAGCAGGACCTGTCCTTACGTGCTTGTCAATGAACAGCCTGACGCACATTCGGCAAACCTTCGGAAGGTTGCGAAGTCGTCTTTGGACTTGCCGTCGAACTGCTTTCACGTTGCTGGCAAGTGCTCGTCCCACCAGATACAGCGTTGCATTGAGATTAACGAGGAGAGGATCCTTGGCGACGTCCACGCCATCGCTTTCTCATGTGCATGCCCGAGTGTGCAGAACAAGCTGCAGGTTGCGCTGAAAAAGGTTCTCGAGCATATGGTGTTCGTGCGCGGCAACCCCGATCAGACTCTTGAAAAGCAGCACGCGTTGATCATCAAGCATGCGTTGAGACGCAGGTCGTCTTGCATTGCCAATGACCCTGATGCGCCTGGAGAGCGCGACCTTGATGAGCATGCAAAGTGCTTCCTCAAGTTCTGGAACGGAGATTGGTCCAGCCATACCATAGTTCACGTTTGTAACGGCTGCTGCGCCGACAAGGAAGATGCGCAACGAAATTTGTTCGCTGCCGCCATCGGCATCGATCTTCTCCAGTCGCGGGAGTGCGACATCCCATGCAAAGATGATTGGGGCACGTGCGAGGCGGCTTGCGGGAAATCTTCAACGGGCATTCTCTGCCACTTCGTGCTCGTGCAAGTCTTCGACGTGTGCTTCCCAGATTGGCACGCGATGGAACCAGACGACCTCGGGGGGAACCATGATGATATTAACGCGCAGCCGGCGCGTATGAAGGTTCAAAAGAAGACATGGCGATCCAAGAAAGTCCTGCACAATGAGCAGCAGACC